GGAGAGCAGGAGGGGGGCTCGGAGGGCGGTGTGTCTGGGAGAACCTTCTGGAACAGTGGAGCAGAGAGGAGGGCTCAGAGGACCCAGGAACTAGCCAGAGGTGCGCTGTCACTTGAGGTCACCCGGCATCCACTCAAGTCAAAGGATGGACTGCCGCAGTCACCTGGGGATGGAGATTCTCTGGAATAGTTCTGTGGAAGGAATGAAGTTAGGACTCGGCAAGAGTGACTGAGGCGGTAGATCATCAAATCTAAACTGGAAGGGACTAAGGGACAGAGCAGACGTCAGGAGACCTTCATGAAAACGGTTGTATGATGGGCCAGCGAGACGGCTCAGTGGGTAAAGACGCTTGCCACCAAGCCTAACGACCCGAGTTCAATCCCTGGGACCTACATGGTGGAAGGAGAGCACCAACTCCTGTTAGTTGTCTTCTGACTTCTATGTTTGTGCCATGTCCTACACACACACACACACACACACACACACACACACACACTAAAAAATGCAATAAAATAAAATGCTTTATGTGAGCACCTGAAAGGACAAGGTAACCATGGGCTCAGAGGGAGGAGTTCTGAATGGGGACACATCTGTCGGACAGAAGAGGGGCAGACACAGAATGTGACCCACAGGTCAGCTATCCCACGGGGCCCATGGACTGCAGCTGCGTGAGGGGGCCACAGCATGGGAGGAATATGTTTCCGGTTTGGTTTAGCCGAGGAGAGGCAGGTGCATGGCCGAGCAATCACATGACACAAAGAGATGTCCTTCAGGGGGCGGGGTAGATGGTTCAGTGGGTAGACTACTCACTGTGCAGGCATCAAGACCAGAGTTCACATCCCCACAACCCACATAAAAAGTCTGGGCATGGGGCCAACAAGGGAGCATGTGCACCATGGGAGGGCACCTGCCACCAAGACTGATGGCCTGAGCTCAATACCCAGGACTGTGGAAAAAGTGAACTGACTCCTCAAAGTTGTCCTCTGACAGACTTCCACATATGTGTTGTGGCATGCACACACACACACACACACACACACACACACATACACACACACACACACACACATACTCACGTATGCACACATTAAAAATCAAGATGTAATTCTTGGAAAACTTTGCTGGGCATGATGGCACACATCTTATTTTGTCTTTTTTTTTCCCCCCTGGAGCTGAGGACCGAACCCAAGGCAAGTGTTCTTCCACTGAGCTAAATCCCCAACCCCCGATGGCACACACTTTAATCACAGCACTCAGGAGGAAGAGGCAGGTGGATCTCTGTGAGTTCAAGGCCAGCCTGGTCTACAGAGTGAAATCCAGACAGCCAGGGCTACACAGAGAAACCCTGTCTCAAAAGAGAGAGAGAGAGAGAGAGAGAGAGAGAGAGAGAGAGAGAGAGAGAAGAAAGGAAGCAAACCAGCTGCCCAGGCATGGTGATGTGTGCCTTATTCCAGCACTGCGGGACAGGCAGAGTCCCAGCCAGTCTGGTCTATACAGCAAACAAGCCAGCAAGCCATAAAGTGAGAGCTTGTGGGGGGGTGGGGGGGGACACCACTTCTGAGTACAGGCTCCTTTATCTGCAACTGTGAGGTGACATCTCAGGTGGGCTGGAGCCTTCTGTGCTCCCTGCCTCCAAAGGTGCAGGCTCCTCCCAGCAGATCTGGGAGATATGGATACTCCTGGCCAAGCCCCCAGTTTCCAAAACCCCACTCTTCTCCAACACTTAGACTGGCCCATCACCGATTTCCCCAGCTCTCTGGCCTCCTCTCCTGCTTTCAGTTAAGTGACGGCACACCGGGCTCTCCTGCCCTTTTGCCTCGGCCTGGTCCATCCAAGCTTCATGTGTGGCTCTAGCAACATGGTGGCCCAGAACTCTCTGCTAAGCTCCGACCCAGGAGCTAACTGTCCCTGAGGTGTCTCGGAGCTGAGCTGGGAGCAGACCTCTCCACCTGTGCCCCTCTGCAGCAGCCAAGAGCCCCCGTTTGCCCCAGAATTAAACAGGCCCAGGCTTGGTGAGGAGACATACCCCTGCTTGGATCCTGTGGTTTGTGTAGCTCATGTGACCAAGGTCTGGAACATTCTATACTCTCAGGATAACAGTGATCCGGGTTCGTTCACAACAGACCCAGGACTTGGCTGGTATCACTTGACGATGACTTCCTTTGTCCTGAAAGATTTGAAGCCAAGAGGCCCCGTGTGAAGGCAGCACACACTGTGCGTTCGTATCTTATCTATGAACTTCCCTTTGTCCTAACCAAAAAAAGCCTGAGCCACGTCCTGTTTTCCTCGATGAGGGAGTGCACTGCAGAAGTCAGGCACCTTCTCAGGCTGCAGCCAGCGCACGCACACCCAGAGTGCACACCCAGAGTGCACACCCAGAGTGCACACCCAGAACACACACCCAGAGCGCACACCAGGCAGCATGGGTCAACCGCGAGGCGACCCTGTCCAAAGCGGACCTGGAGGCTGACCGAAGCAAGCCGAGGGACAGGAGAGGCTAGGAGAGGAAAAGAAGGGTTTGCTCTCTGGGCTGATCCCAGACCAGTCCACAGACTTGTCTCTTAAGCGGGTCAGCGAATTCTCTTCTCTAAACCAAGCAGTTTGTTTTCTGTGAATTCAGCCCTGAAAAGCCCTGACTGAATAACCCATTGCCTCAGTAAGGGACATCAGGCCACAACCATCATCCACCTCCCATCTCTCCCTCACCCCTCACATGGAGCTACTGACAAAGCCTGCCTGCATCCCAGGTTCCAGCAATGGCCATGTTGGCTGGTTTTTTGTTTTTGGGGGTTTTTTTTGTTTGTTTGTTTGTTTGTTTGTTTGTTTGTTTTGGTTTTTTGAGACAGGGTTTCTCTGTGTAGCTTTGCACCTTTCCTGGGACTCACTTGGTAGTCCAGGCTGGCCTCAAACTCCGCCTGGCCCTGCCTCCCGAGTGCTGGGATTAAAGGCGTGTGCCACCACTGCCCGGCCATATTGGCTGGTTTTTGACCATTGCATCCTTACAGCCTTTTCATTTCCATTGGTTCCAGCCTCAAACGTGCTCCAGCCCACTAAGGTCCAGATCTCCAGTGAAAGGCTCCAGCCACCCGACTTCCGTGCCCCTGGGTCTCACTCCCAGTAGACTGTGTCCTGCCCCCACGGGCTCCTCTTCTCCCTCCAACAAGTGAAGAAGGCCGCTGGGTAAGCTCCACCTGCTCTGAGGTGGCCTTCACCAGCTCCCTAGCTGAGGACTCCTGCTCTCGGTTCTCTCCACCTGGGCGTGCTTTGTGATCTATTTTAACTTCAGTCTTTGGACCCCACTCTCTAGCGACTGAGAGCTCCGTGAGGGTAGAACTATCTCCTTTGTCTCCTTGTGCCCAGTTTCCAGAGCACATTGACTGTCAGCACAGAGCACTCAGGAAGTACTTATGGAAAGAACAAGGAAATCAACTGTGTCCCTAGGAGCCCGGTTTATCATTCCCCTTCTCTTTCCTCCTCTCCCTTCCCATCCTCCCCTTCTTTCCTCTCTGTCTTAGTTACGTCCCCATTTCTATAACTGGATACCATGATCAAGGAAACTACTAAAAGAAAGCATTTATTGGGGCCATCAGTTTCAGAGGGTGAGCCCATGGCCATTAGAACAGCAAGCACAGCAGCAGACAGGCAGGCAAGGTACTGGAGCAGTAGCAGAGAGCTTTCATCCTGAGGCACAACCATGAGGCAGAGAGAGCTAACTGGGAATCGCTCAAGTCTTGTGAAACCTCGCAACCCACACCCAGTGACACACCTCCTCCAAGGCCACGCCTCCTATTCCTTCCCAAAGAGTTCCATCAACTGGGGACCAAACATTCTCATTCAAACCAACACACTCTCCTCTTCTCTGTCCTCCTCCTTCCTCTGGAAATGGTCAGAGTGCTGTGGTTTGAATGGGAAGTTCCCCATAGTCTTGGACATTTGAATACTTGGTTCCTGGTTGGTGGCACAGTTTGGGGGATTTAAGAGGTGTGACCTTGTTGGAGGAAGCATGTCAGGGTCAGGCTCTGAGCATTTAGAAGCCTTTAAAACACCATTGCCGGTGTGCCTCCTGCTCATGGTGTAAGTAAGATGTGAGCTCTCAACTCTGAGCTTCCAGCTCCAGCCACCATGCCACTACCCCTTCCAGTCATCAAGGACTCTAGCCCTCTGGAACCATAAGTCCAGAAGAAACTCTTTCTTCCATAAGTTGCCTTGGCCATGGTGTTTTATCACAGCAATAGAGAAATAATTAATAGAGGCAGACTGGGGGAAACAGTGTCCCTTGGTAACGGTAGAACACAAAACCTTATATGGATAATATGTAACATTACCCACTAGGTCCTCACACTGCCACTTCCATTTCATACATGAGGGGCTATGATTCAGGAAGGTTTGCTGACTGGAACTCAGAGCACACATGTACAAAATCCACTCTCAGGGAAGAGATACTCCACCCCAGCTCTTGTCAGAGGTTGAATAAAGCCAGACTCTTGACTACACTGACCACTGGGGGTCAGGGGGCAGCCACGTGTGGGCACTAGAGTCACTCCCAGCCCACATCACACTCACCCTCAAAAAGTCTGGGTTCGGCCGGGCGGTGGTGGCGCACGCCTTTAATCCCAGCACTCGGGAGGCAGAGCCAGGTGGATCTCTGTGAGTTCGAGGACAACCTGAGCTACCAAGCGAGTCCCAGGAAAGGCGCAAAGCTACACAGAGAAACCCTGTCTCGAAAAACGAAAAAAAAAAAAAAGTCTGGGTTCTAAACCAGCTGTGGCAGCCCCCATCTGTAATCCCTGAGAGGTTGAGGTAGGAGGATTACTGTGAGTTCAAGTCCATCCTAGAGCACACAGTGAGTTTCAGGCCAGCTTGGACTATTGTAGCAAAACCCTATCTTAAAAAAAAAAAAAAAAATCATCTGCTAGAAGCAGACCACATGGAAGGGGAGTGAGGGAACAAACCAGGAATCCCGGGGGGTCAAGGACGGAAACAGACCACACACTCAGAACTGCGTTGCTGGCCTGTTTAATAGCGAGCCCTGGACAGTGATGGTGCATTGCTGGTTCTCAGCAACAACAGCTTACAACAGGTTGCTGGGCTGTAGGACACTACTGTCCAGCACCAGGCAGGACGGGAGTTGCATGTGTGTCCATGAGGGCCTGGTGTGCAGAGGACACACTAGCAGTTGGGGTGTGAAGCCGCTTCAGTGCCCAGAGCACACAGCAGTCACCAAGCAGACGCACGTGTTCCTGGAGCATGGGTCTCCTGGACCCACCCCAGGTGTCCGGGAGCAGCTCAGAGGCAGCACTGAGTGCCAGGATCCCAGAGTGAGGGAGGCGTCACCACAGTCCAGGTATCTTCAGTCCGTCCTCGGCAGCACAAACGGGGTGGAGGGAGAGCTCTCCAAGAGGTACAGCTGGTTCCAGCATCTGTAAGACATGATGCCGCCATCTTGACTGGAGGGAGCTCCGCAGTCACTTGAGGAGATCAGGCAGGGCCCTGTACACGATGAACTCGGACTGACAGGGTAGGGCAAGATACCAGTCTATCTGTTGCCACAGCCTGTCTCAGGCTAGCAGAGTGCACTGTGAGCCAAGGGCCGCTTCTCTGTCCCTCAGACCTGCCCCCCAGCCTCCGCCTCTTTCTACCCTGAAAGGAGGTGACTGCAGCAATCCCTCCCCCAGCCAGCCAGCCCAACAGCCTTGACCAGAGATCCGTAGCGAACTTCTGAACAGGCCGTACCCATTCCAAACACTGAGCCCACGGGACATCAAAGGCAGGAAGTCGGATGAAGAGAGCCTTTGCCCACCCCTCTCCCAGCTCTGTCTCCATCCTGGGTGTGAGCAGACAAGATGATGCTGGAGACAGCCTTTCCTGCCATCCAACCGCCACACATCCCTAACACCACAGGGACTTGGGCAGATGGCTTGGATCTTTCCCATCCATGTTTACTCCAGCAAGCCTCTGAGCCCCTCCCCCACTCCTCAGGTTCAAGGCCGGAAAGCTGAGCCCAGCTGCTGAGGAGCTGCCTCCTGGCATCTGAAGACTGTTCTCGGAGTAAAAGAGGATCCAACAAGGCCACTGAGGAAGGAGGGACAAGAGGGGCCAGGTCCTTGACTCAAGCTGAACGCTGCCTATGTGCCTGTAATATGCCTTATGGTGGGAAGGGAGGCCATGTCTTCTACCAGCATCTCACAGAGTGGTGGGGAAGCATGAGGGAGAACAGGCCCAGGAGACCCAGCGTGGAACCTGGAGCCTGCGGTCCAGTTCCGGCTCTGCCACTCTCCTGAGTAGGTCACACGTTTCTCTCTCTGAGCTTCCCCGTCTGTCAGTGAAGGGCCTGCAGGAATTTTAGAGACCCTCCATTCCACGGAGGACAGAGCAGGAAAGCACATGGTGGAAGTCAGCAGAGCGTATCAGGAGGCAGGCTCGGAGGAACCCGGTACAAGAGAAGACACCGGTGCCCAAGACCAGGAAAGTGAGTGCGAACAGTTCCCTGGGCCCTGCCCACTAACACACACACACACACACACACACACACACACACACACACACACACACACACCACTGCACTGCCCTGGACTATCCTCTCTCCAAGGCAGTGGGGGAGGCATCTTGGACGTGAGAAATCCGCCACGCTCAAGGCTGGTGTGGCACTGCTGTCCAGGACAGGTGCCAAACCCTTAGCCGCTAAGCAAGGATCACACATCGTCGGCTTCACAGCTGCTTAGCTGCACCTGCCCACACCCTCACCCCTCACCAGGCCATCTCCACAGGCATCCTGCACCTCTGCCTTCTTGGCGGTAACTTGAAAGCAGGAGAGCTGAGAGTCACCAAGAAACAGAAGCCTCCAGAAGACCCCACACACAGCTGAATATCGATGAAGCACCCCACCCACCCCACCCACCCACCCCCGTTTCACGGCTCAGTCTGAGGTGGCCTTGGCCTGGGGTTACTCTGTCCTTTGGGCCACCCAGGCCCTTCTCTCCAGAGATGGATGGCCTGTCCTCACAGAGATGGATACAGGAGAGCCAGACACAGCTGGGAATCCTCAATCCCACGTCTACTTCCTGCAGCTTCTGCTCCTTGCCATCACCACCCCCAACACAGCACACAAAGCTCCTCCTGGCCTGAGCTACCACGAGCAGGGGTCAGGGGAGGGGGCTCGGTACAACTCTCTACCCACAAGGTTACCCCAAACAACCAAGGATACCTCAAGTGGGAGTGAAGACTCTTCCACCCCCCTCCTCCACCTTGGCTGGCCCCAGCCTGCCCACTCCCATGCATGGACAAAGGATTCACGCAGGAGAGAGCCGCAAGCTGAAAGCCGAGGTCTGACTGTGTCGGCCTCTGGTACAAAGGGCCCTGCTGAGCCCGGCACACTGCGAGGTGGACTTGGTGGATGCAGAGGTGCAGAAACACATAGGTACCAGAAACGGACTCCCGTTCAGAGGCCCCTCCAGCCCCCTCCTTTATACACAAAGGAGCACAAAGGCTGCCTGTGCCTAGAGGACAGCCAGGGAGGGAGAGATAGTCAGAGGCACAGGGAACTCCAGCCCCACCTTAGACTTGCAGTTGTCTGGTTTGGTGAGAGCAGAGGCCGTCACTGTGCCCACCCCACCCAGCCCCACCCCTACTCCCCCTGTGCCTCAAGGCTCTCACCTGTGCAGGAGACAAGAGCGTGTGGGATGGACCTTCCACTGTGCTCCACAGACATGGGCTCTGGAAGGCACAGAAGGGGCTGACCCTCTCTCAAGAACAGCCGGAAACCTAGGAGTCATCCCCTCCACAGGCTCCGGGCTCGGCCTCATGGGATGCACGCCTCTCCCGAGTCAGTGGTGCTATCAGGCCCTGGGCTCGGAGGAGGAGTCCACCGCCCAGGAACAGGATCCCGCACAGCACCAGAAGGGACAGCACACCCAGCACCACTGCCTGAACCATCCGCGGCCCCTCCGGCGGCTGCAGTGGCAGCCCGGACTGGTTACAACAGCTCAGCCAGGCAGCCTTGGCCGCAGCCCCCACCTGTGAGCCGTTCATGCTCCCACCAGCTGCCCAGATGTGCACACAACCCTGGGAGCAGAGGCCCTGAGAGATGTACTCAAGGGGCGGGCCTCCCGGGGCTCTACCGCCCCGCTCTACCCAACTCCACGCAGAGTGAGTGCTCAGGCCCCTCCTAGACAGACTCCTCCAGAGTAGCCTATAGGTCCTTCTCTGGCAGGCTGGATTCTGAGGCCGAGCCTGTCTGTTAATTTGAAATTTCCAGGTAAACCCAGGAGGCCTGTCCCCAGGGCTTCCTTCCCTTGAAAAACGCCAAGACTCAGCGTTCTCAGGGCTCTCCCGTTTTCGAGACTCTCAGACCCCCCTCCCAGGTGCTGACCCCTCCCAGGTGCTGACCACTGAGCTTTCTGCTACTGAACTAAAAGTTCAACCCTTCTGGCCCCCAGGGACACAGTCAAATGGGCAGCCCAACGGATCCGGATGTGGAAACCCTTCCCCGGGACAGGCAAGCAGAACACAGGAGTCCTCCAGACACCAGGGCAGAGAGAAGGGGTGGAGCACCGTACCCAGAGGACAAGGCCTACCTCCACTTTCTCTCCTGTCCTATTTACCAAGAGAGCATAGAGAGAGCAAGGGGGGTATGTGGAAGGGCTCAGAGGGAGGAAGGGGTGGGGGGTGATGTAATTATGATTTTAAAAAAAATTAAAGAGTATAGATCTAGCCCACTGTCCCCATCTCAGACTCATAATGCTCCAGGATAGGGACAATACTGTCTTGGAAGACAGCCCCCTGCCAGTAGATATCCATGATATGGCCAGAGTAGGAGAGTTGAGTACAATCTGGATGCAGAGAAGCCTGCCCAGGTCTCCTGGAAATCCTTTAGTGAACTTTAAATTCCCTTTCCCTTTTTTTTTTTTCTTTTTTTGGATGAATGCTGTCTGCAAGTATGCCTGCACGCCAGAAGAGGGCATCAGATCCCATTACAGATGGTTGTGAGCCGCCATGCAGTTGCTGGGAATTGAACTCAGGACCTCTCGAAGAACAGCTAGTGCTCTTACCGGCTGGGCCATTTCTCCAGCCCCTTAAGTTCCCTTTTCAAAGACAGAGTCACTGTGGAGAGCCTTGGGATACAGACCAGTTGGCAGAGCGCTTGCTGAGCAACGTGCCCAATGGAAGGTTTTGGGTTTTAAACTCCAGCAGGGTATAAAACAGGGCGGGGCAGCACCCACCGGCAAGCCCAGCACTTGTACAAAGAACAGAAGAAATGCAAGGTCATACTGCATCATGAGTTCCAGGCCAGCAAGGACTACCTAACTTTGTCTCAAAAAGAACTAGGGCTGGGTTCAAGGCCAGCCTGGCCTACAGAGCAAGTTCCAGGGCTACACAGAGAAACCTTGTCTCCAAAAACCAAAAATTTAAAAAAAAAAAAGAAAAAGCCGAGTTATGACTTTAATCCCAGGCAGAGGCTGGCAGATCTGAGTCTGAGGCCAGGCTAAGCTTAGTTAGTTAGTTCCAGAACAGCCAGGAATGTAGAATGAGTCAGGAGGCCGGGCGGTGGTGGCGCACTCGGGAGGCAGATCTGTGAGTTCGTGGCCAGCCTCTGCCAGTTCCAGGACAGGCAGGACTGTAGAATGAGTCAGGAATGTTCAGCTATGTAGAGACCCTATCTCAAACATCCCCAAAGGTCACTTCTAGTCAACGCCTCAGAAGCAAACAGGGAACACCCCGAGTGCGCATGCCAGGGAGGCTTGTGAGTACATCTTCTCTAGCTCCAACCCCCTCAGACGTCCATCCTCCAGAGTCCTGAGACTGACTAAAGTACTACAACCTGCCGGGAAAGTGCACACATGGCCTGGGAAAATCCTCACAGTTCTCTGGTCGTCCTAGCTCCCTCCCAGGACCATGACCAGGACCCCAGCCAGCTCCAGCGCTCCTCCCTATGGGCAGCTCACTCCGCTGTGCTTAGATCTCCAGGGTGTAGCCAGCAGCATTGCAGAACACAGAATAAGTGAACAGGTGTAGCAGTGGAGACTGAGTACCCTGTGTAAAAAGGTGTCCCCAAGCACTGCCCAAACAGTGAGGCAGGCCAACCTGGGCAGCGTCAGCAGACACCACAACCCCAGGACCCACCTTCCTTAGATACCCCGTATTAAATAATTTTGTGTATGCTCTATAAAGACAAAACACCCCATTGCCCTCATTCATGACATCTGGCTGGTCACATCTGGCTGGGTGACACCTTCGTATGTGAATTCTAACAGCACAAGCACCACCCGTTTTTTTGGTTGTTGTTTGTTTGTTTTTAGTTTTTCAAGACAGGGTTTCTCTGTGTAGTTTTGGTTCCTGTTCTGGAACTCACTCTGTAGACCAGGCTGGCCTCGAACTCACAGAGATCCTCCTGACTCTGCCTCCCGAGTGCTGGGGTTAAAGGTGTGCCCACCGCCACCCGGCGCTCCACCAGTTTTAACCTGTGTTAACTGCATCAACCCACTCCTCTCAGCTTGGAATAATGCCCTCAACAATCATGTGAGTCCTCGTGAGTGTCAGGAAGTGTTCATGTTTCAGGGCAGGACACAGGCCAAGACAGCCGAGCCAAACTCACATCTCAACTTTATTCGCCACCCTCACTGTAGTTCTGTACAGTGTAGAAAGAGAACCCACCGGGGGTGTGGAAAGGCTGCATCCAGGACAGGACCACTGCAAAAGCGACAGGGTCACCCGAGGCTGGAAACCACAAAACAAGGACATCAAGAGCTTCTCTTCAAGTCTCACCAAGGATCTAGAGCAGGTTCCAGAGCCCAAAACGTCAGCATCACAGAATCCCAGAGCCATCAAGGAGTTGCCAAGGCGGCAGAGAGCCCTACAGGGCAAGGGTGTCTTTGATGAGCCTGCGCATGGTGGTGGTGACCGAGGTACCCAGGGCATCGGTGATCTGAAAGGAGATCTTGTAGAGGTAAGGCTGCACGTCCCGCAAGCCAGTGTCAAACACGTTGTCCACCTCTGACTGCGTGGGCATCTTGGGCAGGTACTCATGCCGGCTCATCACCTCCACAATGTTGATGATCTTCTCACAGAGCTTCTCCCCCACCTTCTCTCGACAGATCTGCCGCTCCTGCTCTGTGGCCAGGGCGACCACGTGCACCTTGACCGTCCACACCTCCCAAGGGATGCACTCGTCCGAAAAAGGCCAACGTGACTTCTTCTTCTGGTAGAATTCCAAGGACATCTGGCCTAGCCCGTCACCACCTGAGTTTCGAAGTGCATCCTGGAGAAGACACAACAGGTGAGCGGGCCATGGCCTTGGAAGGTTCTTATCCTGTGAGGCCCGATTCCCACACCGGGGGATTCCATTTCCACTTCTACCCACCCTACCCACTAAACACTGCAGGGGGTGAAACCTACAGAAGGTAGAGGACTTGTGTGAGGGACATAAACACTGCTAGCCTAAAACTGGTTCAAGCAAACTAACCCCCTTCTCCTTGCCCAGCTCCAGCCTTAAAAGAGGTGGCCTGGCCGGGCGGTGGTGGCGCACGCCTTTAATCCCAGCACTCGGGAGGCAGAGCCAGGTGGATCTCTATGAGTTCGAGGCCAGCCTGGGCTACCAAGCGAGTCCCAGGAAAGGCGCAAAGCTACACAGAGAAACCCTGTCTTGAAAAACGGAAAAAAAAAAAAAAAAAAAAGAGGTGGCCTGTATCAAACATGAGCTGAGGTGCAGACGTACATGCACACGTGTGTACACACTCACACATAAGGAATTACTGTTATAACCAGGGGCCATGCTGTGGGTTGAACAAGAACGGTCCCCACAGACTATTTTTTGCATATTTGAATACTCAGTCCCTAGTTGGTAGAACTGTTGGGGTTTGAACTAAGGTTATGTAAGGATAATAAGGAGTTTGTAACATGGATATGGAAACATCCAATGTTGTATTTCTCAAGAAGGGAACTTGGAATGCCAACAGATGTGAGAAAGAACATGGGAATGCCTTGTGGCCTTCCTTGGTTTCTAGAAAATAGGGCAAAGGCTGCTCCCATGACTCAGACATTTATATAACCTTGAAGATGCTGGCCTGCAGATCAGGCTTCTCTGCTGAACTGTAAACTGTAACTGTCATCAAGAGTTGTAATGATAAAAACGAGCCTTGGGATGCATTTGCACACTTGTGCTCAAGTGCCTGGGGACCCTGTTTCAGTTCTTCTGCATTCATCAACCTCTCATAAGAACTGTTGAAATAGATTACGGGGTGTGGCTTTGTTGGAGGTGTGTCACTGAGGGTGGGCTTTGAGGTTTCAAAAGGCTTGTGCCATTCTCTCTGCCTCATGGATGTCTCAACCTGTAAGCTCTCAACTCCTGGCCCAGTACCATGCCGACCTGCTGACATGCTCTCCGTCCTGATGGTCACGAACTAACGCGCTCTGAAACTGTTAGCCCAAACATGTCACAGCGTCTTATCACAGAAGGAGAAAAGTAAGACAGAAGTTGGTACCAGGAGTGGGGTAATGCTGGGACAGGTTTAACATACGGTTTTGGAAAAGAATGTGGAAGACTCCGGGACTCTGAACTAGGAAAGTGATTGAACACTGTAAACAGGGTTTAATGGACTCTCCAGCGAAGTGTGGAAGACAACGGTGCTGAAAGCGACTCAGGGGAACAATATGAGTAACTGGGCTAGAGGCCATGCTCCTGATATTTACCAAAGGAATGCGCTGCCTCCTATCCCTGTCCTAAGAATCTACCTGAGGCTACATTTAAAAGTAACGAACTAATTTTGTTAGCAGAGGAGAGGTCAAGACAGACTAATAGACGACTGCATCGCGTGGTTGTTAGTAACCACCCTTACACAGGTCTACAATGAAAATGAGTGAGTTGGGGCAAAAGAAAAAATGTGCAGTTTGAGGAGAAAACAGCACCAGGAAGTTTCATGTTGGAGCCTGACCTTGTACTGAAGGAGGTGAGATTTTTAAAAGGCCTAATCCAAAATGGAATGAAGGGAGGGCCTCAGAGAGGACCCTGCCCAGCTAAGCTCCCAATCTGTAAAAGGGAAAGGCTGGAGGGATTTTCTGCTCCTAAAAAGTAACAAAACAAAGCTGCTATGCATATGATTCGGAGGCCAAGGCTCCCCCCACCTGGCAGTACTGCTCACGTGGTTCCGGCTTTAGGAGACACAAGTAACGAGGTTGTGGGATCTTCCTCCACGGCTAAGGGGAGCCACTGAGGCCAAGTGTGTGGCAGAGGAGTCCCTGCAGGGAGGCCCTGAGGGGCCACTGTGTGAAGCTGTGAAAGTGAAGCCTGAATCACACTGGAGACCCCAAGAGGTCAGAGATGCCAGAGCCATGAGACACCTGACAAGGAGAGCTGCAGACATGGAGTAGAACCAGCCCAAGAGACAGAAGTGTGTTAGTGTGCTGCAGTCAACAAAGCTGGAAGGGTGGGGCCATCTAAGCCCCCAGACGTCAGACCTGGAGTTACAGGATTTGGAGTTTGCCCTGCTGGGTTTTCAGTCTTGCTTTGGTCCAGTATTTCCTCACTGTGCTCCTATTCCTTCCTTTTGGAATGGTAATGTATATTCTGTGCCATTGTATGTTGGAAGTATGTGATCTGCTTCTTGGTTTTATAGGGAGTTATAGTTAAGAGATTGCCTT